GAATATAAAATTGTGTATATATAGAATATAAAATTGTGTATCAAAATAATGCCCTTCAGAATGATTGTAGCTTTAGCGTATAGCTTCCTTCCTTATGAAGGGAAGCATAATTTTCACTTAGTCTTGAATGTTTTCTTTGTTTAAAACATTTCTTGATATATCAAATATGTTTGGTAGGATCATGTATTCTCATCTGCAGATTTTCTTATTTCAGATACAGAGAACAATCTGCCGAATTCTATTTTGAAGGCATAGGTTATGCACATATCAAAGCTCCTTCTCCAGGCACAGGAGTCATAAGATATGAACAAACCATTCAAACTACTTCAGATGTCGGGTTGGTGTTTTTTGCAGAAAATCAGGTAATTAATATTCATGTAGATGTTTCTGGGCAAGCTGGAAGGTGGGGGAGAAGAGGAGAGAATGAAATTAGGCACAGGGAAAGAAAGATTCATGTAAATAAATATTTCTGAAACAATGTAAATAAGTCAATATTAACCCCAAATTTCTATCTATTGACCTATAATTGAAAATAATTTGAAACACATATTCAAATAACATGTTTCAGATTCCAAGATTTACTGCATCATATTGCTGGAAGATAATTCATAAATGATTTTGATAGTTTTGTAATATAAAGAAATAGACTAGGTGGAATTCTATCTCAGAGATCTTATTTTTTATTTATTATATTTATTTTATACTTTTCAGCCCAGGGCCTAAGTTTCATCCATGGAAAGAAACAATTTAAGTCCTTGATTTCTCCTATCAAGGAATAATGCTGCCCTAAATGCATCTGGGAGGAGCTTTAAAATGCCCAATTATTTTGTCCATTGTTTAAGACTTAAAGAATCAAGAATAGCTGTTTAAATATTTTTAATGCAAACTTAACAGAAACGCCTAGCATAGGAGTGGTTCCTATTCCTCATTCATTCCATTGTGTTGGTGGCTGGTGGTTCATGGCTGGGACTGTCTTCTGAGGTGAGGCCAGCCGAGTGAGAAAACTGAGCTATCGGTTTGCACTTTGTGCCCAGCCTCAGGGTCTTTTCAGTACTTTGAACTTCAAACAGTAGAAAAGGCATTTCATAAACAGTTATATTAACTAGCATAATCCCAAAACAAAGGGAATAATCTGTAAAATATTTTAAATGTATATGTACAGATACTGAAATATTATTCTGGGCATGTTGAGAATTTTCTTTCACAGCTGTAATTTGCATAATATCTGTTAACTGCAATAAATTTAGTTAATTGTTCAAGGATATACTTAGTAATATATATTTTACAGTGTAGAAGTGTAAATTGCTATAAAACTACAGTAGTGCAAACAACCTTCATTGTTTTTCTCAGGCAACCTAGGAATATCCAAATATGGCATGGACAGTTATATAGGTAGACATCCTGTAATTGTCAAAGAGTTGCCCTATCTCCATTGTAAAGGGGGGCAGGGGCGGAATTGTCTGCCTAGACCAGTGTACATAAATGTAGAAGAAACCCCATACAGTAAACTGTGAGGGTGCAGAATTTAGGTCTTTCTTTAGGCTGCACGTATGCAGCTCAAGTTTCACGATATTTTTTGAATCCCAGTTTTCAGGTCTTAACATTGTGTCAAGCAGATCAGCTTAGTAGCACCTGCTGAGTCCTTCAGATGCCAATTGTATGGAAGAAAGTTTTGGAACATAATCTTAACTTTCTCATTGACTTCATGCTGAGTCTTTTTGGGATTTTTTTGCTAAGTAAATGGAAAATTGATCATTGTACTATTTGAATGTAGGCATAAAGATCAGACTCGACACTCAGATCCATCTGCTGCCTCACTTGGAGAAAATGAAAGATACAGGACTGGTAGTTGGGCCTGAATGGCAGTAAGCAAAATACAGTGTTCTACCCTTCTAGTTCATGTATTTTGCTAGGCCTGGCCAATATTCAAGCAAATGTAGGACTGTTGTTGCTTATCGCTGTTCATGAGCATATCTAAAGTTCTTATTTTTTGGTGACAACTAGACAACTAGAAACAAGCAGCCTATCTGACAAAACAGAAAGATGTATTACTTCTTTAATATGGCTTTCTCAATAAAAATGAAAACGTTGGGTGCTGAAATGTTCCTCTGTATTGGCTTCAGTCAGTCTTTCCCAACAATGCCCTCCAGTTGCCAGACTATAATTTCCATAATCTCAACTATGAAATGTTTGGAGTTGTAATTCAGCACATCTGTGGGAAAGGACAGCCCTCTTTCTCCCCACTAAGAAGGAGCAATGCATCTTTATTTTAAAATATGAAAGCCAAAGTGATCAAGCTATTAGGATAAAATCTAAATATTAAATATTATTAAGGTAAAATAAAATACGCCTGTTTCAATTAATGCCTATGTCTGTAATATTTTGCATAAAACATTATTTCTGGATTATAGGACAAGTTTATTAGTTTGAGGATTGAAAATGGCCGCCCAATATTGACATACAAAGCTGATTCACAGCCTTCAAGAGAAATAACAAATGGAAGCATGAGCAATGTAACAGAAAAACTAGTAAGTCTCTCTGCACAAAACAATCTCAGACTTGTTATCATTATGAAAATGCTCACATGCACTCCTTTGCAATATACTAGCTATTTTCTTAACCTTAGCTACATGTATGGAAATTTTCAAAGCTTATTCTTGAAACAAATCCATGGGTGCACTGCCTTGCTCCCAAATGGACTATTGCAACATGTTCTACATGGGGCTGTCCTTGAAGAGCATTTGGAAGCTTCAGCTGGTACAGAATGCAGCTGCCCGAGTTGTAAATAGTGTCAGCTACTTGGCATACTTCAGGAGCTGCATTGGTTGCCAGTGTGTTTCCGGGTGCAATTCAAGGTGCTGGTTGTCACCTTTAAAGCCCTTTATGGCTTGGGACCAGGTTACCTTAGGGACCATCTTTTCCCAGTTGTTTCTACTCATCCAATCTGGTCTGGTAGGATGGGCATTCTCTGGGTCCCATCAGCCAAGGAATGTTGGCTGGTGGGGACCAGGAGACGTGTCTTTTCTGCTGCGGCGCCTGTCCTCTGGAACATCCTCCCTCCTGAGATTAGGATGGCCCCAACACTTTTGGCATTTCAGAAGGCCTTGAAGACCTGGCTTTATACCTGGGCCTGGGGCCCTGAGTGGGCGAAGGACCCCGTTTCATGGTTTTGCTGACACTGATGGTTTTTTAAAAATCTCTTGGCTGTATTTATATTTAATTTTCTGTATTGTTTTAATTGTTTGATGGTTTTTATTATTGTTAGCTGCCCAGAATCACTGGTCTGAGATGGGCTGCTATATAAATTGAATAAATAAATAAAATACATATGTCAGCATAAGGGCATAAGTGTAGGATTGTGTAGGATATTAGAACTGTGTGTCAGTCCCACCACCAAAACTGACATTTGCTGGTTTTGCCCCTGCGGACAAAGGTTCACAGGAGGAGCTTGGATTAACATGTTTGAAACCTCCATATTATGAAGGATCTTGATATCAGAAGGTTCTAAGACAGTCTTGTCCAACTGTAGCATCTTCTGAATATGCAGAAGATGGGTTGGTTCCAACACCTAGGCTTCTCAGCAATGGCCATGCTGGCTGATGGACTCCAGGAGTTGAAATCTGCACTTAGGTTGGGAAAGGCCAAACATGATTTGGTATTCAGCGGAGTCTTTATGCAACAGTTAGGAGTGGACAGGGCCAGCCAGCAATGAAGCAACTGCCTCAGGTAGCAGTTGGTGGGGAACAGTAGTGCCCTCTGCCTATTCCTCCTGAGTAAACAAAGCCATTTTTTGAGGTTGTTGAACCATCAATCATCTCAGTTGTGGATGGAATACATCATCCTATTAACTATTAGCCCAGTTGGTTTTTGAATATGAAAAGGAGAGGGGTGCTGTCTTATTATTTGCCTCAGGCAGCAGAATATTTTCATACAGATATGAGAGCAAAGGTGTCATATATAGGTTGCTGGGGGGAGGCCAGCAGATATTACCCAGCTGCTTATGCATCCTCTGACCTCTAATATTCGAGCCTAATGCCTGACTAGTTCTGTGATGATTGTGGAGTGGAACTGCCAGTCAAAGGATGACAATGCTGAGTATTCCTCCTAGCAGGAGGAAGAATTAGGGAGAGGGATTTGGGCAGTGCAGATGGACCTGTTGTTTTCAAGTGATTGGCATAATGCAGAGGCTCCCATGTTATAGAAAGGAAATGATCTTAAGTCATTGCATGAAAGTAAAGGGGGAAAAAATGAAGAAATGCTTTGTGCTTGTTGGCCATATAGAGATTTTCCTCCTTTTAGAAAAGAATTGGAAGGTAATAAATATTTGGACCCCTTCATGGATCACTGCCTTGTCGTGGCGAAGGGGCTTGCATAACTCAGTGA